AGAGAACATGCTCGCCGAGATGAACACGGTCCGCAAGTTCAACTAGTAATACGGATTTTCTATAATTTTCTAACTATTTTCTAAGTTTATATTTATATATATACTACGTTTTGGGTACGGTGATTGATGGACTCACTGCGGCGATATCGGGACATATGAATAAATAACCATCGTACTAGTTGAACTTGCTTACGTGATCATCTCGGCGAGCATTTCTCCACCGGACGGCACCGATTTGCTTGTACGGAAGAGCTCGATTCTACGAGGAAGGGAACACGGTCTTCCACGACCGCTGCCGCTCTCCCTCATAGAATCAAAGCTCCTCCTTGATGTCCGTTACCGCTCGGCAGAGAACATGCTCGCCGAGATGAACACGGTCCGTAAGTTCAACTAGCTACTTTAACCTTATTTCATGTAAATATGAAAGCTTGAAGTGATTTTGAGCTCAAATTGCTTACAAATGAAAAAAACCACAATAAAGAACCATATATATATAGTGAACAAAATGAGATAAGACAATGGTGAAAAATGAGAGTATGAGATTGGTAACCTTTACAACTGAAGAATCGACGGAGGAATTGAAGAAATCGACGGAGGAGTCGAATAATGGATGGAGGAACAATGGAGGGAGGGAGGAAGCAAGAACACTAGTGCAGTGAGCTTCAAAATGTGCTGAGCTCGGGCTCGGGGAGGAAGAAGGAGACGGCCGGGATATAAAGGGGGGACCTTTAGTCCCGGTTGGTGGCTCCAACCGGGACTAAAAGTAACTTTCCAACCCCGGACGCAGCCATAGCCCGAGAGAGACCTTTACTTCGGTTGGAGCCACCAACCGAGTAAAAATATACCTTTAGTCCCGGTTGGTGGCTCCAACGGGACTAAAGGTCCTCGCCACCTCCGGCCCGGGCGCGAGAGCCGTTAGGGGGGAACTTTAGTCCCGGTTGGAGACACCAACCGGGACTAAAGGTATTTCTAGTCCCGGACGCAAAAAAATTCCGGGACTAGAGCCCATTTTGATCGAGGATCAAAGGTCAGTTCTCTACTAGTGACCCCTTTAGTCCCGGATGCTTGCTCCCAGGTGGGGAACCGGGACTAGAGGGGGTTCCCCACCGAGAGTAAAACTCTGTTCTCTACCAGTGAGATCCAAATCAAATTTGAATAACATAACTTTCCGTTGAAATGCCCTAACAAGATAGTAGTTTTCCCTGTTTTATTTTTTCTCTACTATTCTTCTTTTGCAACACTAATTACGGTTCAAACTCTGATCGTGTTAATCTGACATTAGGGGTGTGTTTGGCAAGGATTGGACTACTCTAATAAACGTTCCTAGAGAGAAACTAATTCTATTTCTCAAGTGAAACTGGTTTTTCTAGCTTGTGTAAGAAAATCCGATGAATGTTTCTGGTCATGACTAAAATTTCAGAATCGTTTTGCTGTGTTTCTACTGTTTCTCTAAAAAGTCAGTTTCCATAGGGACTCGGGCCTTGATTAGTTCATTCCCCTAAAGTTTACTCCATATCCCATCGAATGTTTGACGCATGCATGGAGTATTAAATATAGACTAAAAATAACTAATTGCACAGTTTGTGACTAATTTGCGAGATTTAATCTTTTAACCATAATCAGTCCATGATTTGACAATGTGGTGCTACAGTACACACATGTGCTAATGATGGATTAATTAGGCTTAATAAATTTGTCTCATGGATTACTGATTTAATTCTGTAATTTATTTTTTTATGAGTATCCCAACACCCCATGTATGCGACACCCTATATGACACCCGATGTGATACCTTAAAACTTTTACACCCTGAATTTAAATAAAGCCTCGGATGTTTTTTTTTTTTAAGAATCCCTACCAAACACACCCTAGCTCTGGTGAAGCATCAGTCTCGATTTACCTATCAAATATTTATTGGCCAGCACCAGCATTTTAAATTTGGAAACAACACATCAGTGGTCATTAAACTTATTCACTAATATCATTAAGCTCCCTCATTAATATCATTAAGTTCCCTAAACTATCAATTTGAATTTTTGTTGGTTCATTCGAGGTCCTCTAATCACTGTAAGTTAGGCTAGTCACTGTACCAAGCATCTGTGCTTCGAAAGTTCTGCCATTCCATGTGCAAGACAATTCCCTGATGGGAGGTTGGGAGATTGACAAAAATGCAGTATCTGCAACAAGTTGTCAGGCATGATATCATGCATACTTCAGCATCATCATCCGGAATTTAATTGTCATTTCCTTAGCAAACAATAGCTGTTTGCTAAGCTGAACCAGAGCCAAGAGCTTGAAGCGCTAATGCTGGTGTTACTCCGTATTAGTAGGGCTGACATTTGTTTTTATATGCCAAAAAAACTTGTTATAGTCTGGGCCACTGCTGTTCTTGAGAGTTGAGGCCTTGGAGGATCGTTGTCTTCGGCTGCATCGATCATATATGATGAGTGCATTAATTACGATTTTCAAAATATAATTTCTGTAGATATGATTTTATATGTGGCCACCAAAAAAATTCCAAAATATAATTTCTATACGATACGATTTTCGTCATATAGACATAGTTTTGGTTCAACCTCACTTTTGTATAGTTACATAAATTTATAGGGTAAAAGTATCTACCTCTTGTGAGCCTCTCTCACCACTTATACATATCCACCTCAATCCACATGTGTTAGCATAGATTGGAGTGAAACTTAAATGAACTTACACTCTAATCTACCTCAGCACATGTAGATTGAAGTGAACATAAGTATCAAACAAACTCTCAGGTGGTGCGACCACGCCGGCTGACACCATCTGGGCCAGGGCCGCGTTTGTTGAGGCTTGAGGGTGTTGGAGTGAGCATGTGCACTTTTAAACATTCAATAAAAATAGTATAATCAAGTTGTAAAACTCACATTGTAATCATCTAGTAAATAGTGCAATCAAGATAATTTAAATAAATAAGGCACGGCTATAAGCAATGAAACACTAGAAATATGAATAAATTATATCTAAATAACTTCAAATAGAGCACAATGAATAGATAGCATTTTTTTGAAAAAAAAATCAAGACTACTTTCATATCTTTCTGATTTAAAACAAATTACTTATGGATTTTTATAGAATAAATAGGATTTATATTATTTTAGAAAATAGAAACCCACCTTTGAAACTAGCTAGAGGACCAAATTTGCACGGCTGTTCCACTAAAGCCCCAAGTACAGAAAATGTGATTTTTTTAAAGTATTAAAAAAGTTTTTTTTTGCGAAACCGAAACTTTATTAAAACTTAAGTAATGTCTTTACAAGATTGAGTGGCAATCCACTCCGGAAAACAAGAAAAAAACACCTAACACTCCCTAGACCTAATAGCAAACTGCGCTAAATCATGTGCCAAATTATTCTGGACTCTACTAATCTGAGAAAATTCAATCCTACTCAACTGACCCCAAACCTTGCATGCCCCTTCAATGAGTTGGCAAATCGACGATCGATCACGAGTGTTCTCTTTGAGTTTGGTGACTACCGAATGACAATCTGATTCCAGGATCATCGGAACCTCCGGCCATCTATGTGCCAGATGAACACCTTCCAGACAAGCACGCGCTTCAGCTTCCTCAGCATCCCTGCAATGGAATATGACATGCCAGGTGGTTAGTTTCAAGTCTCCGACCCAATCTCTAATTACCACTCCAATCGCAGCTTCGCTGTCTGTCTGATTATAGCTAGCCATGCAGCCCGAGGCACGACGGCACGGCACGAAGCCCGCTTTTTAGCCCGACACGAGCACGGCACGGCCCGGTGGCATGCGGGCCAGGCTGGCCCGGACCGAGGAGGGGGCTGTGCTGGGCCGCCGCCGGCTCTGCGTGGGCTGGCACGGCACGGCCCCGCCTGTGTCGGTCGGCCCGGCAGCAGCCCGATGCAAGCCATGGCCTGCTAAAAGGCCCATCGCTCTAACCCTAACTCCCCGGCCCCCCAGACCCGCCCTCTCCCCCCACGCCACGCCCCCCCTCCTCTCTCCCCCAGCCGTCGCGCCCCTCCCTCCTCTATCCCACGCCCCTCCTCTCCCCCCCACGCCGCTCCGCCCCTCCCTCCTCTCTCCCACGCCCCTCTCCCCCCCCGTCGCCGCCGCCGCACCTGCACCCTCACCCCTCCTATCTTCTAGCGTTTCCCATCAAATCCGGTGTGGCCACCGGGGTGTGCCCGTCGGTCGTCGCCTCATCGAGACCCGCGCCCGTCCTCATCGAGCCCCGTGACGATGGAGTCCACGGCCGAATCTCGGGCGCGCGGTGGAGTCCGTGGCCAGATCTCGGATGTGCGGTGGAATCCGTGGCCAGATCTCGGGTGCGCGGTGGAATCAGCGGCCGGATCTCGGCCGCCCCACCTCCGCTTATGCACCGGTGGAGGAGAAGATGAACGGTGCTGGCAAAGAAGTGGAGGGGCGCCGGCGGCCGCTGGAGGAGGTGATGGAGCGACAACGACGTGGTGGGGCGACCGGAAGTCGCCTCGAGCGCCACCGCAGCCGCAGCCCGCAGGACAGCGCCTCGACCTCGTCCTCCGTCCTCTCTCCCTTCCCCTGCTGATGCGGGCCTCGGGCCGGCCTGGCCTGTTAAAAAGGCCGTGCTTTCTAGGCCGGCCCGGCACGGAAAGTGGCCCGACAGGCCATGCCTGGGCCGTCGGCTAGGCATGGTGGACTGGGGCGGCACGGCCCGGCGGCCCGTCGTGCTCTACCGTGTTGTGCCCTATCGGGCCGTGCCGGGCCGGGCCGGGCGGCCCGAATGGCCAGCTATACTGCAGATTGAAGGCAGCATCAACATTGATTTTGAAAGTACCTAGGGGTGGAGGACTAGGCCCAGTTCGCTTCTCTTATAATCCGTCTTTTTCAGCTTGTTTTTTTAGCCGGAACAGTATTTTTCTCTCACAACAAATCAGACGGAACAGTGTTTCGGCTTGTTTTTTCAGCGAAGCGAACGGGGCCATATCTTCTTAACCCGATTCATTGCCGGACCCTTTCTTTTACTCAGTCGGTATCAGACTGTGTTTGCCTTTGTTATCTAGAGGGTCTCCCTGTTGCCGGATAGTGAATAGTGAGTGCATGTAACGATTCAAAAAGATGACAGAGCTCCCAATACAAGCTGAAGCCCCCTCATGTATAATTTTCTTCCGTATGGTCCAAGTATGCCAGAGAAGCAGAAAGAAGCTAGTCAATGCCTCCATGCAATAGTTGAGAGCAATCTGTAGCAGCCACTCTGGCCCAGACCAAATAAGATCCTTCTCAGAAGGCAGAGAGCAATGGTCTCTCATTGCCGCCCGGACTGCAGCAGCATGGGGGCAGCTGATGACCGCATGGTAGGCATCTTCACCTTGAGAACCACACAGCTGACAAATATCCTGCTGCTCAAGATGACGGTGCTTCTTATTGACACGAGTAGGCAAACCATTGTTGACAATTTTCCAGATAAAAACATTAACCTTATAAGGGACTTTAACACTCCATACCTTCTTCCATACCGCCCGACCCTGTTCTGAACTTGAGCTGCTACCAATCTGACCGACACCATACCCATTCCAGACAGCAAGCCTATATGCACTTCGGACAGAGAACAAACCATTTTCTCATAATGCCAAGCAACAAAATCTGAAGTACTAGACGGCAGCAGCTTGATCTAAAAATCTCTGAAGCATCACAAGGAAAAAGTACCTGCGCATGGCTGTTTCATCCCATGTACCATTATCAATCAGGTGGTGCACCCAACACAGTCTGCACGCTCGCTTTGGACCAATTGGTTTCAGGCCGTGACCTCTCGAGAGCCAATTGTTGCGCCAAATTTGAGTGGATCTACCATCACCTATCCTCTTGATGACGCCGAGCTTTAACAATTCCAGCCCATACTCAATTGCTCTCCACGTTTGGGATGCCTCTCCCGCAAGAACAGAATCTAGCAACTTGCCCTTAGGGAAGTATTTTGCTTTAAGAACTCTAGCACAAAGGCTATCAGGATAAGCTAGCAGCCTCCATGCTTGTCGGGCGAGCAACGCTTGGTTAACAAGTCTCAGGTCCCTGAACCCCATTCCTCCAAATCCCTTTGGCATTAACATTTTCTCCCATGGGATCCATTGCATCTTCCTTCTTCATTTTCAGCACCCCACCAGAAAGCTCGTATTTGCTTCATGAGGTCGTCACACAATGTAAGGGGCAGTTTGAAAACACTCATAACATAGACAGGTAAAGCCTGGGCAACCGATTTGATCAAAACTTCCTTCCCCACAGCAGACAAATTTTTTTCCTTCCACGCTACCATCCTCTTATGGAAACGTCCCTCAAGGGGTTGAAACAGTCCTCGCCGGACTCTTCCATGAGGGGTTGGGAGGCCCAAATATTTTGCTTCAAAATCCAATCTTTCCACCCCCAGCGTCAGGCGCACTTGATCTGCGATCTGCTGATCACAATTCTCATTAATTAACAAGGAGCATTTGTTAGGACTAAGAAGCTGACCTGAACATCGCTCAAAAGTAGAGAGAACATCCTTGATAACCAGCGCCTGATGCACATTGGCTCTGAAGAATAATAGGCTATCATCCACAAATAGCAAGTGAGACACACTCAGTGCCCTCCGACACACCTTAACTCCATCAATATTTCCCAGCCGCTCATTGTGCTTCAAAAGTGTAGACAAACCATCAGCCACAAGCAAGAATAAGTATGGTGAAAGCGGATCACCTTGCCGTAGACCACGTGTAGGGGAGAAGGGCTGCGACGTCAACCCATTGAAGCGAACCGTATAGCGTACAGATGAAACACAAGACATGATCCACTGCACCCAACGACTTTGAAAGCCCAGCTTCTCCATCAAGCTTTGTAAAAATCCCCAATCCACCTGGTCATATGCCTTCGACAAATCCAGATTATACGCACAAAAATCCTTGCCTCTGTCTTTTTGAATAGCATGCACACATTCAAACGCGATTAAGGCGTTGTCTGTAATTAGTCTGCCCGGCACAAACACACTTAGCTCCTCTGAAATGATGCTGTCCAAAAAAGGTCTTAGCCAATTAACCAGACATTTCGAGATAACCTTGTAAATCACATTACAAAGACTAATCGACATAAAATCTTTGAGCTCCACAGGATCTGCCCCTTTTGGTATGAGAACAATAGCCGTATCATTTACCCCTGGGGGAGATAACCATCCTTGAAAAAACCTTTAACAGCAGCAACCACATCCTCCTTGACCACCTCCCAATGCCTCTGAAAAAATCTTGCCGGAAAACTGTCAGGGCTTGGAGCTTTTAATGGACCCATCTGAAACAAAGCATCAGCTATCTCTTCTGCAGAAAAATCCTGGCACAGGTCATGATTCATATTGTCTGTTATCTCCGGCTCAATGAGATCTATGAGTTCATCAGGCACAACATTTGGATCAGCCGTGTAGAGATCACTGAAAAACTTGGACGCCATACGCTGCATCTGTCTAGGATCGTCACACCAATTTCCTTCCTGATCCTTGAACTTCTTGATTTTATTTTTGCGTGCTCGCCAGACAGCTTGCTTATGAAAATAGTTAGTATTTTGATCACCTTCCTTCAACCATGCAATCCGAGAACGCTGGAGCCACATCATCTCTTCTCTGTACAAAAGTTCATCCATGCGGTCAGTGATTCGACGCACCTCACGATTGCTACATAACGGGTCCGTTCTCGCTTCTTCTAGGCTTGCTCTCAATTCCTCAAGTTCCTTGGTGACCATGCCAAAATGCTGCTTACTCCAAGACCGTAGAGCACATTGCACACGTTTCAGGGCAGCAACCACGCCACCCAACCCCTCTCTATTGGCATCAGTACACCACGCATTCTTGATCTCCAAAGGTAAGGACTCAAGCCGCTCCCACATTATTTCGTAACGAAAAATCCTTGGTTTATGTCGTTCCCAGCTCTCCTTTCTAATTTCCAGAAAAAGTGGACAGTGATCTGAACGTGATGACACTAGGTGGTGAAGCACAGCATCACCAAACAAATCCCGCCACTCCGGACAGGCCACAGCCCTGTCCAACCTCACCTTCACGTTTGCATTTTCTCCACGCCCATTATCATAGGTGTAAGGCAGACCTGTGAAACCCAAATCTGTGAGTTCGCAGTCAGCAAGCGCATCTCCGAAAGCAACAATCTGGCGTTCAGGTCTCGGACATGCAAAAAAATGTTGATAACCCCACATTGCTTCATTGAAATCCCCAATAGCCAACCACGGCTCCATGGACCTGCCCCGCAGACGCCTGAGTAGCTCCCACATAACATGTCTTTGGTCAGTCCGTGGCTCTCCTTACACAAAGGTAACACGGGTTCTTGGCTCCGAAGGAGATTCTCTAACATGAACATCAATATATCGCTGATGTTTTTCAATCAGTGAAACATCCACCGACTCATGCCAAAACAAGGCTAATCGTCCCCCACTTCTAACACTATCCACAGTTATGCAGTTTTTCAAGCCCAATCTCCATCTTAAATTCGCCACTCTTCCACCTTTCATGCGAGTCTCCGATAAGAAGACCAACATGGGACTTTTTTCTCTAGCAAGAGCAACAAGCTCTTGAACTGTCCGGGGGAGTCCCAACCCCCGGCAGTTCCAGCTGAAAATATTCATTGCTCCTGACGGGCCTCGCCATGAGGACCCGTCAGGTTGATAGACAGCTGCTCACCATCACCCTTCTTGCTCCAATTATCTGCACCATCTTGTACCTTCCTCCGTTTGCTAGAAACATCCAACACTTCAGAGTTCGCACTGAGATCTTGGTTTATCACATTGAGCTCCAGATCACTGTGTTTTCCAAGAACTCCCAGACTATGTTTCAGAACTGCAGCACTCTGTTGAACAATTTCTCGCAGCTTGGGCTTGAGGTGATCACCCCGACAGACTGTGACAAGCCACTCAGCCTCGCCTGCAGACATAGTTGGACACTCAGCTCGCACTTTTCAAATCTCTTCTGAAACTGTATCCAGACCCACAGCAGCCCCGGCCACTGCTCCCGCCGGCAACTGGATATTGTCAGACGAGGAACAGTGCCTTTCCTTGAAATTACGCTGAACCTTTGTACGCTTGGAATCAGCCATCTGATCCTCCCACTCCTCAGCAACACCATGTGCCACCTCAGCCACTGCTTTGTGAAGGACAAACTTTAAGGTTTTCCTAGTCTATCATATCAGGTATGGCTCTGGTGGGATATTGCTTTACCATAAAGGAGAGGTGTAGCTATTCATTTTAACTTTTTGAAATAAAATTCTCTAATAACAAGACATCAAGAATCAAATTCTCATTATTCTACTGTATCTCATTCCACAACAACTAAGTAGCATGGGGTCCCTAATAATAAGTTCCCAACAATAGCAAGACTTCCTGGAAAAGTATCATGTGAGTCTATCCTTTAGTCATAACTAAAATAATCTTTCCTCGGGTTTTAAGTTATTTTATCAAAGGATTTTCAATTCGTTCGAGACAGAAAGAATAACATGTGAAAATCAAACATATGGGTCGCTCACCTGACCGTAGACAAATGTGAGGCGAGAGGGCACTGTAGTGGGCCGATCGGCCCATAGGAGAGACCGGGCGACCTGGCCCGATGCCTATTTGGGTCCAGCTTTGGTTGACATGGTTCTTGGTCCATTACTTTCTGAATTTCGTGATCTTCGCGATTGGATTCTGTTCTGTTGTCATGGTGTGCTTCCCCTACACTTGTTTCCTATTTACCTTTTATGCACAACATGTGGAGACAAACACATATATCCAAAAATAAATAGAGAGTAGTGTTGCCATTTCTTAGCGTCGCTACTAAGAACAGAGTTTTAAATCTAGTCCCTAGCAACAACGTCAGAGATGCTTGTTGGTATTTATTAACGTGTCACTTGTTATTAAATAGCCACCTATTATAAACATATATCTCCTAATTTTACTAGGTTGTCATCCCTAGTGATGATATCAGAGATACTTGTTGGTACTACATAACATTACTACTAGAATAATACTAAGCAGTTCTTTATTAATTATGTGACTAGGAAGAATAAATAAATATATAAATGAAAAGGATCTGCAAGCGCACAGATAATATACCTTTGTAGCATTTTACCCAAGAATTTTCTAGGTACCGTTATTTATATTTTTACCACAAGGAAGGTCCAGCATGGACATGTATTGATAACTTATACTATTGAAGAAGAAGTAAACCATAACTAATATTCTACTCATAACAAGGGTAAATCATAGTATAAGATATATATATATATATATGATGAGTATTGATCAATGATAATGATAAATCACTCAGAGTACTCCTTTCTATGCCATTAACATGGTCAGGTAGAATATTAGAAAAATAATTCCTAAGTCATTCTTAATTACAAGTCAAAGCATACATTGATTAGTACAATTATACCTAGTAATCATTGCTAAGATCATCGTCATATCTACACATAAGGGATATTACTAAGGAAGATTAAGAACAGAGCTTGCTCTTCCTTCGTAACTGAACCCTACGTGCGCCTATATTCGGGGAGTGGACTACAAATGACTCAATGGGAGTGTCACATCTGCAATATACCACATGACCCAGAATACAGAGTGTATCCGCAGGTAAACAATGTATAAGCACCATGCTACACAATGTCGACCACCCACCCATGGATCCTTAGAGTGAGCGCTATATGAACTTATACATGAACATAATGATAATCCAACTATACTAAGCATATAATCAAAGTAGACCAAGAATATTATAACAAAGAATATGAATAAGATGAATACTGATATTGTCATAACAATTGTAACTAGCATATAAAAGTAATAGAGATACAAAAGAGAGAGGGGTACAAAGATTATACCAAACCACGCTCTTGACAAGATCGGGAATCCAAGCTGAAGCTTGCCTGAGGATGCTTGCCTCCTCTAGACCTATAGGCCGGAGCATCAATGGGGGACGATCTCTCTAATGACCATTGGAACTAGGGAGGAGAAGAGCTTTTCTCCTATTCGAGAAAGGAGGCTTGTTGGAATGACTATGGAGACAGTAGGGGCTCGTTTATATAGGGGGCCAACTTGCAACAGGGTCAAGATCTATCCATTAGGGTCTCGTGAAAGGAAAAATGAATGGGGCGAAAAAACTATGGGATTGTAGAGGGAAGGTTCTAGAATACGAGAGAATCGACTGAGGCGAGGTGGCTTACAAGGGGGGGTCGTCAATCTCTAAAGTATGGACAAAGGTGGGACCGGTAGGTCCAACATGGTGGCCCCCATGGAGATTTTTCTCACGGTGGTTTCTAATACCTATCTAATCCCAAAAAGTATATTTATCCATTACGAAACATAAAGAGGATGGCAGTGGTGTAAATCTTTGGTAAAATCAGAAAATCTACCTCATCCAAATCCTCAGGTGAGTTTTTTAGGTTCTAGAAAGATCTTGAGACAGTGGCCATTTACCTTGAATAACGTACCTTCATCGTTTTGAAGTGTTACCGCTCCATGCGACGAGGTGCTTATAACCTTGAATGGTCTCTCCCATTTGCTCTGAAGTTTTCCATGCCCGAATAATTTGACCCTAGAATTAAAAAGTAACACCTTATCTCCTAGGGCGAACTCCTTCTTCTTGATCCTCTTGTCATGCCATCTTTTAGTTCTCTCCTTGTATATCTTGGCTTTGTGATATGCTTTTTCATGCCATTCATCAAGTTCAGAGAGTTGCATCTTCCTCTTGGTTCCTACAGCTTCAAAGTCCATGTTCCATCGGTTTATAGCCCAATGAGCTTTGAATTCTAGCTCAATAGGTAGATGACAGGTCTTTTCATAGACGAGTTGATATGGTGACATCCCAAGTGGTGTTTTATAGGCCATTCTATAAGCCCATAATGCATCAGGTAGTCTATCCTTCTATGCAGTCCCCATCTCGTTGACCGTCTTCTATAGAATATTCTTGATATCTTTGTTCGATGTTTCTGCTTGGCCACTTGTCTGAGGGTGGTATGGAGTAGCGATGTTGTGATGGATCCCATGTCTTAACAAGTACTTGTGAAAGTTCTTGTCCGTGAAGTGAGTGCCTCCATCACTAATCACCATTCTTTTGGAACTCCAAAAGCGTGAAAATATTGTTTCTTCAAACATCTTCCGGAGTTCTTAGCGCCAAGAGCTCTACATGGCATGGCTTCAACCCACTTAGAGACATAGTCAACTATCACTAAGATGTATTCATAATTCTTTAACTTTGGAAATGGTCCCATGTAGTCAATACCAGGACATCGAAAAGTTCGATCGGAGGTTGTTGGTGAGTGGCATGGCATCTCTTGAATTGATGTTCCCATGCCTTTGACATGCTCCACACCTCTGGATGAAGTCCTTCATATCTTCATACATGGTTGACCAAAAGAATCCACTTTACCAGATCTACAAATGAGTGTGGAATGCAACATAATGTCCTCCATATGGTGATGAATGGCATCGTTCTATGATTTTAAAGCCTTCCTCTCTTGGCACACACCTTTCCGAGTAGGCCATCAGAGTAGATTCGAAGAAGAGGTACCGCTCATCCCATATGTGGAGACGACATTCATAGATGAGCTTCCTTTTTGTTCTCCCCTAGTGGTACATAACACTGCAACCATAAAATTAACAATATTTGCGTACCAAGGGTCGGATTTTGTAATCTTGAAGAGCATGTTGTTCCAAAGCGAATCGTTGATGGGCAATTCCTATGAATTCTCAAACTACACTCCGGACAAGTGATCGGCAACATAATTTTCTACTCCCTTTTTATCTTTTATTTCTCAATCAAATTTTGGATTAGCAAAATCCATCTTATAAGTCTAGGTTTAGCATCTTTCTTAGTAAGGACGTATTTTAAAGCAGCATGATCAGTATAAACAATCACCTTAGGTCCTACTAAGTAAGATATATATTTATCAATAGCAAAAACAACAGCCAGGAACTCTTTTTCAATTGTTGCATAATTAAGTTGAGGTCATGTCAGAGTTTTGCTAGCATAAGCAATTGCATGATGTGTTTTATCTTTAGTTTGTCCCAAAACTGTCCCTACAGCATAATCACTAGCATCACACATAATTTTAAAAGGTAGTGACCAATCAGGGGTTGAATAATTGGTGCAGAGATGAGTGCTTTCTTAAGAATTTCAAAAGATTTGAATCATGCATCATCAAAATTAAAGGGAATATCCTTGGTCAAAAGATTTGTTAGAGGTCTAGCAATGTGTGAAAATATTTTATGAAGCGGCGGTAAAAGCCAGCATGACCAAGAAAACTATGGATCCCTCTGATATTTATGGGAGGAGTTAACTATTCAATTACTTCAATTTTAGCTCTGTCTACCTCAATCACTCTTTCGGACACCAGGTGTCCAAGCACTATGCCTTCTCTAACCATGAAATGACATTTTTCCCAATTAAGGACTAAGAGCTTTTCTTCACATCTTTGCAATATCTTGTCTAAATTTTTAAGACAGTCATCAAAAGTTTTTCCATAAATAGAAAAGTCATCCATGAAAACTTTTATGATTTCTTTAATCATATCACAAAAGATAGACATCATGCATCTTTGAAAAGAAACTAGAGCATTACATAGCCCCAAAGACATTCTACGATAAGCATAAGTTCCTTATGGACATGTAAAAGTGGTTTTGCTTTGGTCATCTAGATGGATTGGTATCTGGTGATAACCTGAATACCCATCAAGGAAACAGAAGAAAGAGTGATTTGCCAGTCGCTCCAACATTTCATCAATGAAGGGCAACGAAAAATGATCTTTCTTTGTTGCCTTGTTAAGTTTTTGGTAGTCAATACACATCCGCCATTTAGTGATGGTTCTTTGGGGCATTAATTTATTCTTTTTATTTTTAACAACAGTCATACCTCTCTTTTTAGGCACAACCTGAACAGGGCTTACCCACTCACTATACG